AGCTCCCGGCTGCCGGCTACCCGCACCAGACAGCGGCGGCCGCCCCACGAAGTGGCACGAACCGGCACGGACGGCGGCACCCCGCAGACCGACCCGGAAGCTTTTCCGCCGCAAGCCTTAAGCAGGCTGGAGGGGGGGGGGCGTAACCCCGGAAGTTATTTCCCGGCGCCGGGAGCGGCGGGATGGCAAGCTGAGGCCTAGGGAGTCCCAAGTTTGTGCCGCCGCTGCAGGGTGACTGGGGCCGAGGAGAGGGGATAAGGGCTGGAGAGCGGGTGCCCCGAGACCCGAACTCTCGGGGCGGGCGGCTTCGGGTGACGGCCGAGGGGCTTCCTGCCACAGGAAGTCGGGGCGGGCTTCTGGGCCTCTTGGAGACGCCGGAGGAATGAGCGAACGGTGAGGGCTCCCCGTCCACCGGCTGCTGCCCCACCCTGTGACTTGGATGTAGCGGCCCGCGCGGAGATCGGCCGCTCGCTCGGGTGAGTCTTGGCGATTTCCTTCGCGCGGAAACCAGGAGAGGCACGATCCGGGCTCCGGCTAGCGAACACGGGTGGGCCGGCCAGCCTCTCCGGCTAGGTTCTGCAGGCAAGGGGTGTTACTTCTTCCGAGCAGGTGCCGAGCAGCCGGGGTCGTCTTTGGGGTGAGAGCCCTCGGAGCAAAACGGCTTGCACTTTTCCCGATAACGGAACCCTGGTGGGTGGTGGCAGGGGACACTTCCCAGGCAGTGTTGTCATTGTCGGGAAAGCGATCCCCGAGCTTGTCGCCTGTAGCTCCTTTCTCCCTTCTTTCCGAGTTCTTCCTTCGTGGTTTTTGCCTGGCTTGCGTTGCTGTCCCCGCCCCTCGGTACTTGTAGCTTCACCAGAAGCCTTTATGTGGAACCTTGAGATTTCAGCTCCATTCCTGTCCCACTCTCTCGACCAACTGACCCACAAAGGAATATTACCCAGGTGGGGGCACTAAATGACAACTCTCCTTTCTCACTCGTAATGATAACCCAAAATGCCCCTACGTATTTCTAAAAAGATCACAGAAACCTCTCCCAGTTATGAACCCTCTCCACTTACGTAAGTCCTCATTGTATCAGGCGTTTATGCCTGAGCATTTTCTCGGGTGCCCTGAGCCATGTAACATAGTGACAATACCTTTATTTCTCTTGACTGGTTCTCTCTTCCTCTCCTGTGGTGCTTCTGCTGCACCTGCCTTACCTTCACGGTTGGTGGCTTTGGTTATTTGCTGGCTTCAACCTTCTGTTTCCTTTTATGTCATTGGAAGACCATTTTAAGTGTTCCAGTCCAAATACTTCTTGAAAACCAATTTTAAGAATATTTGGGGGATATGTTAATAGTGAATGATTTAAAATATATGGTATTAACAAATGAAACACTTTGTTAATAGACGTTTTCTTGTCATGAGTTGATTGAGACAAGAATTAGTTTACTTTAAATTCTGTGTAGAAGGTTAACAGCTTCTTCATTCCTCCTTTAGGTGCTTTATTGTTTCCTGTAATTGCCATGTATTGTAAAGTGTCACTGCAGCACAGTGTCTTTTAAAGAAGTTTGCAGTCTTTAAGGCATCCTTATATCTTATTTTTATAGTTTATTATGTTTTAGTCATTAATCTAAGATGAAAATAATCGCTATACAGAAATTTTTGAGAAAAGTCTTTTTCTCATTCGCTGAGCAGCTCTTTTGCATGTGGTGGGTTTTCAGAATGATCTTATTAAAATATTTGAACTGAAAAACATTCCATGAACTATTTAGAATGTGAATGAATGTGTCCTCAAAAGTTTAAACAAAATGAAATGTCTTCATGCCAATGTTTCACTCTAACTTCTTCATCAAAATACCTTAGTTTTTTTGCTACAAATCAATGAAAACTTTTGTAATTCAAAAAGTTTAATTAACACAAATATTTGGGAAGTAATACCTGTTAAGTTTTTATACTTAATTTTATTTAAAATGTCAGAAATTACTGAATTTTGAAAGAATTTCATTTTCATAAAATTTTCAAAAAGAAGGCATTTTTTAAATTTTAGGAAAATGAGTTAGGATATCAAAGTGACATCAGTTGCATCTGAGAAAACAGAATAAATGTGTATCCTCTTAAGTAACATTTTCAACCCTTTCTTGAAAATGCTTTTTTTTTCTCTCCTGAGAGTTGAAGCAGAAACGGACTCATTAAATATGAAAAGACCATTTTAATGCCTAATGGGCCTTTTTAAAAATTGAAGAAAGTTCATGTCACTGTGACTAGAAAGGAAACTCTTTGGTTGATGTTCTTTTAGAAATTGACTGGCATATCACTGAGTGGAACCTTTAAAAGGCAAAAGGATAAAGTTATATTCTGTCCAAGAGAAGCTTTTCGGGGTAGTTGTGAAGTGTTATTACCTAATAGCACTGATCAGAGAGAACACTCAGCAATCCAGTCTATAGCTGGAATTCAATTACTTTTTCCAAAACTGCTCAGTGGAGACTTAAAAAATAGTTTTGGGGGGATAGGGAGGATTACATACATCGACACAGTGACTATATTTCAAAGAAGAACTTTAGATTACCTAGGGAATTGATAACAGAAGTGGAAAAGATTTCTTTTGTCAACTGACCAAATGACCAAATGGTTCAGATGGGCATCTCCAAAGGCAGTTATAAACCCTAGGCTAAGTCATCCATGTGTCTAAAGCAATGTTTTCTTACTGAAAGTTATGGAGTATCAGTAGGTATAAAGAAAGCAGCCAGCTACTTCCAGCTTCCAAACTTAACATATATTTGTATACTTTATGGAAAATAAGAGTCCATTATTCTGAACCACTATTTCGAGACATTATTTACTTTATAAGATATTTTATAATGATACCACCTTTTTAAGCCCCAAAGACAGATTCTTGATTCTTGATGAAGATAAAGTCAATTCTGGCTTTCCTTTTAGGTATTAGATATTGTAGATATAAAAATCAATATTTTATAATTGTTTTTCAAAGTGTATATTTAAAAAATATTAAATATTTAAAAAACATTTTTTTTTTCTTTTTCTTAAAATGTGTAGTCCAGGCTGGCCTCGAACTCAAGATCCTCCTGCCTCTGCCTCCTTCAGCAAATCCTACCGGTGCGCGCCACCACAACCGGCTTAAAAAACATTTTAAAAGGTTGTTGGGCTGGGTGTAATGTTGCATATATGTGTGTTGTTTTTTTACCTTGCCACCAGTTGTGTCATTTTCCCTTCCAAGGAACTTTTTGTTTGTTTTATAAAGCAATGGGAAATCCAGAAAACATAGAAGATGCATATGTTGCAGTTATCCGTCCAAAGAATACTGCCAGTCTCAACTCGCGGGAATATAGAGCTAAGTCCTATGAAGTAAGAAAATCTAATAACATTTGTTTCCTCCTGTTGACTGTCATTCTGTGTACCATTTACATAGAGAGCACTCTGAGCATATGCTGCAGTTATTATTCATGAGCTGGTTAGTCTAGATCTCTACCCGGTTGTTTTTACTGTTGCATACCTTTCAATAACTTATCATTCATTTACATGCGTAAATTATTAGATAAAAAGTTATTTGAGGGACTGAGATGTAGATCAGTTGACAGAGTGGTTGGCCAGCACGCAGCTTAAAGGTCTGAGTTTGACTCCTAGCACTGCATAAAACCAGGCAGCGTGGACCTTGACTACACAGGGAGCCTGAGGCCAGCTGGGCTGCAGGAGACCCTGCCTTACAAGCCAAAGAAAGAGAACAAAAGGCAAAGTCACGATTGTTTTGTTGTTTGTTTTTTAGAGACAGGATTTCTCTGTGTGTAGCCCTGGCTGTCCTGGAACTCACTCTGTAGACCAGGCTGGCCTCGAACTCAGAGATCTGCCTACCTCTGTCTCCCCAGTGCTGAAATGAAAGGCATGAGCCACCACGCCCAACTCATGATTTTCTTAAGTTTATTTACTTAGGTCTTTGTATAATTTATGGAATAACTCAAAAATTAAAAACATAATAAAAATAAATTTGTTCAGACTTTTAATGTAAAGATTGATATTGTTTATTTTTAGATTATTAATTATATCTGTATGTGTGTTTATATATTACTTATACAAATAAAACTGAGTTGCTTTTTTTCCTGTATAAGAGAAATAAGCCTAATTTCTCTAACATTGGCCTCAAATTGCTTTTGTAAGATTATCTGAAGCCATTTCCCAATCTCAGTTGCACTATAGATTGACTTGGGAAACTACTTGTACTAGGAGCCTAGTTGTTATGTGTTCTGATTTAATAGGTCCAGAGAGAAGACTAGCATTGGTACTATTTTAAAGCGTCATAGGTTATACTGTAATATGCACCTAGGGTTGAGAAAGGCTGTCAGATTAAAATAGTATTCTAGGGCAAGTGCATTTTAAACTTTGTATTAATGCTGTTTTTCCTCATCTAAGATTTTATTGCATGAAGTTCCCATTGAAGGACAGAAAAAAAAGAGAAAGAAAGTTTTGCTGGAAACTAAACTTCAAGGCAACAGTGAAATAGCACAAGGCATATTGGATTATGTAGTAGAAACTACCAAACCAATTTCTCCTGCAAACCAGGGGATCAGAGGTAGGAAACTTTCTCTCTCCCTACAGCTAACTGTTTGTTTTCAATAGTTAAAAATAAAAAATTGTGGGGGTTTTGGAGGGAAGAGTTGTTTTGTTTTGTTTATTTTGTTCACTATGTAACCTTAGCTGGCCTGGAACACAATGTATAGACCAGGCTG